TTTGGCTTATTTGAAGCTATTGTGAAAGGTGTTGTTTTCCTGATTTCTCTCTCAATCTGTTTGTCATTTGTATATAAGAGGGCTACAGATTTCTGTGAATTAATCTTGTAACCAGCTACTTTGCTGAATGTGTTTATCAGCTGTAGGAGTTTCCCAGTGGAATTTTTAAGGTCACATATGTGTGCTTTCATATCATTTGCAAATAAAAATACTTTGCTTCTTTCTTTCCAATTTGCATCTCCTTGATCTCCTTCAGTTGTCTTATTTATTGCTCTAGCTAAGACTTCAAGTACTATGTTGAACAGGTATGGAGAGAGTAGAACAGCCTTGTCTTGTTCCTGATTTTAGTGGAATTGTTTAGAGTTTTGGTCTGTTTAGATTGATGTTGGCTATGGGCTTGCTGCAAGCTGCCTTTATTGTGTTGAAGTATGTCCCTTGTATCTCTAGTCTCTCCAGGACTATTATCTGAATTAGGTGTTAGATTTTTGTCAAAGGGCTTTTCTGCATCTAATGGGACGATTATGGAGGTTTCTTTTCTTTCAGTTTGTTTATACAGTGGATTATATTTATTGATTTTTTTGTATATTGAGTCATCCTTGCATCTCTGGGATAAAGCCTACTTGATCATGGTGGATGATCTATTTGATATGTTCTTGGATTCAGTTTTAAAGAGTTTTATTGAGTATTTTCGCATCAACGATCGTGAGGGAAATTGATCTGTAATTCTCTTTGTTAAATCTTTGTGTGGTTTGGATATCAATGTAACTGTAGTCTCATAAAATGAATTGGGCCATGCTCCTTCTGTTTCTATTTTGTGGGATAATTTTTCCACTTTCTTTTTATTTATTCTATATGTCTTTTACATCTTATATCATGATCTCATTAATTTCCCTATGCCTTTGCACCCCCCCTTCCCAAAATAAAACAAATTTTAAGAGAAAAAAGGGAAAAATTTAAAATCTCATTATGGAAGCTGCAGTGTGACACAGGACACAGTGAGTCACCCAGTAAACCCTTTTGTCCATATATCTTTATTTGCAAGTGTTCTTCCCTAAGTGTCATTGGTTCGATGCCTTTGGTTTCTACTATACTACTGATGCTGGACCCTCACTGGTACTCTCCTTGGATACTTTCTTGTTGCCTGGTGTTCTCCTGTTTTCATGCCCTCAGGGTGAGTTCCCCCACACCTACAACTTCAGGGCAGCTCTACTGTGTCACCCAGGTGAGGTACAGGGCCACTCTCCCCTGCAGCTGGTAAGGCAACAGCTCTTCTGCCTTTCTAGCCTCCAGGGCCAGCTCCTCCCCCTGTCTCAGGCATTGGTAGGGGTGGGGGCACATCTTTCCTCCAGTCCAGATGAGTAGTAGAGACAACTCACAATATTGGGGCTGGGTTACCCTCACTTCAGACCACCAGGCCAGCTCTGCTGTGCTGCCTAGGCAAAGGACAGGGGTGGCCTCCTTTCCTGAGTGCTACAGCTTATAATGGAGAGGGTCAGGTCTCTGGTCTGTTACAGGCAGTAAGGAGAAAAGGGTAAGGGAGAATCTTTCTCCCTCTTGTAGGATCATTTGAGGAGTATTGGTATTAATTCTTCTTTGAAAGTCTGGTCCAATTTTGCACTAAAACCATCTGGCCCTGGGCATTTTTTTTTTGGATGGGAGAATTTTAATGACTTCTCTGTACTAGGGGTTATGTTTAAATTGCTTATCTGATCTTGATTTAACTTTGGCAAGTGGTATCTAGCAAGATAATTATCCATTTCTTTTAGATTTTCCAAAATGGTGGAGTACATGTTTTTAAAGTATATTCTTATGATTCTCTATATTCCCTTTGTGTCTGTTGTTATGTCCCCCTTCTGACTTTGTTAATTTGGATATTCTCTGTGTCTTTTAGTAAGTTTAGATAAGGGTTTGTCTATCTTGTTGATTTTCTAAAAGAACCAACTCTTCCTTTCATTTGTTGTTTTCATTGTTCTTTGTTTCTATTTTATTGATTTCAGCCCTGAGTCTATTACAGCCATCTACTCCTTTGGGGTGTGATTACTTCTTTTTGTTCTAGAGACTTTAGATGTGCTAGTATAAGATCTCTCCAGGTTTTTATTTTATTCTATTTTTATTTTTATTTTTGGTTTTTTGAGACAGGGTTTCTCTGTATTGTTTTGGAGGCTATCCTGGAACTTGCTCTGTAGACCAGACTGGCCTCGAACTCACAGAGATCCACCTGCCTCTGCCTCCCAAGTGCTGGGATTAAAGGCATGTGCCACCAACGCCCAGCCCAGGTTTTTTTTTAATGTAAGGGTTTAGTGCTATGAACTTACCTTGAAACAGTTTTCAGGGTGTTTTATAAGTTTTGTATATTGTATATATTTCTTTCTTTCTTTTTAAAAAAGATTTATTTATTTATTATGTATGCAATATTTTGTCTACATGTATGTCTACAGGCCAGAAGACCAGATCTCATTACAGATGGTTGTAAGCCACCATGTGGTTGCTGGGAATTGAACTCAGGACCTCTAGAAGAGCAGCCAGTGCGCTTAACCTCTGAGCCATCTCTCCAGCCCTATATTTCTTTCTTAATTTCTGTCTTGACCTATTTTTCATTTGGTAGAGAGGTGTTCTGATTCTCTGAGTTTGTAGATTTTTTGTTGTTTCTGTGGTTGATATAGTTTAATCTGTGGTCTGTTAGGATGCAGGAAATTATTTCAATTTTCTTGTATCTGTTGAGACTTGCTTTGTGTCTATGATCAAGTTTTGAGAAAGGTACATAAGGCACATAGAAGAAGGAATGTTATTTTGAGTTTGGGTGAAATGTATAAATATCTATTAGGTCCATATGGTTAAGAATGCCAGTTAGCTCCAGCATCTCTGTTTCTGTGTGAATGACCTGTCTATTGATGAGGTTGGGGTATTGAAGTCTCTCACTATCAGTGTATGAGGATCAATATGTGATTTGTTTTTTTTTAATGAAATTGCATGTCCTTGTGTGTGGGGCATAGGTGTGAACAACTGAAGTGTTATCTTGGTGGATTTTTCCTTTGAGTATGTGTATGTAGTGTTGTTCCTGTCTCTTCCAATTAGTTTTTGTTTGAAGTCTATTTTGTTTAATATTAAAATGGATTCACCAGCTTGCTTCATAGGTTTTCTAATCTCTCCCCTGTCCTCCTGCTGCCCTCCCTTTCTCTTCCTCTAGAGATCTTTTTCCCCCTTCACAATCCCCTTTGTAGTTTCAGGATCTAACTACCCCCCCCCACACACACACTCATATACACAGTTATGACAGAAAACATGTGCTGTCTCTCAATCAATATAATAATTTCTAATTCTATCCCTTTTGATATACAAAGGTCAGTATCAGTGCCCATAAGGATGGCTCCACTCCATCTTGGCTCAAAGGCAGAGTTTTCAAAAACTGTCCTCAGTAAGTCATAAGACCTAAAGGTCAAGGCAAGGCTACAGTAGGATGTCCGATCTTGGCCTTGGGTGTCTTATCTAACTAACAACAGGCCTGGTAACAAGAAGTTGAATCTAAGGTATGGTTACTGAATCCTTGGAGAAATGAGGAAGAAAAGTCTGTTTGTTCCATATACGTGATGCTGTGTTCCCCTTTGTGGAGAAGGTATGTAAGAGTGCTGAAAATTAACTCAGGGCAGTCAGTACTGACTGAGTCTGCCCTCCTGACATCTACTCTGTCTCCCTCATTTTCCTGTAACTCCTTTAGTTAGCCTTTCCTTCAGTCCATCTTCCACCTCTCAGGTCTGAACCGTGGGCGAGTCAGCATGCTCTGACTGTACCCTGAAAAAACCGCCTCCCACAGGTCAGGATTTCAGTTTTCTTTAAGGCTGGATAAAGTTTTATTGTGTACATGTACCACATTTTCTTTGTCTGCTAATGGATGCCTAGGCTGTTTCCACTTCTGAGCTGTTGGGAATAGGGCAACAATAATAATATACATGGCTGTGCAGGTATCTTTGTGGTAGGCCGATTGAAGAGTCCTTTGGATACGTGCTCAGGAGTGGAATGGCTGGGTCATGAGGTAATTCTAGTTGTAGATTTCGGAGAACCCTCCACAGTACTATAAACAGTGGCTGCACCCACTTTGTAGTTAGGTGGTGGAACCCCTAAGAGCTAGGCCTAATGGGAAGACCACTGGACACAGACCCTTAACGTGGACTGTGGGACCTTCAGCCATTTCCCTTTGTTTTTATATTTTGCGTTTCATCCTTAAGCTTTGCTGCACAATGTGATCGCACCATAGTCTTACCAGAGGCCTAAAGCTGTGTTACCTAGCAGCCATGGACCAAAACCTCCAGCATCATGAGCAAAAAACAAACTTTATCTCTCTGTGACTTTATCGTGTCAAGTGTCTGTTGCAGCAGTGCATGACAGACTCACAGAGGGACAAGGACAAAGATGGAGAATGAGTGTTAATGAAAAAGCCGAGATGGTTAAGGTGAAATAATGTTTCCACAGTTTATAAAGATACATAATCTATAAATATATTTCTCATGCAAGCCCAGGGGAAGGAAGATGTCTGTGCCAGACCAGGATAAGGCTGTAGCGTTTATTCATCTGTGCTTTGTGGTGACTGGAACATAATGGGGGAAATGGATGTATTCGGAGGCGAGTCTTGGTGATTCTGAATGAACGTAAAATTGTCTTGAAGGATCTGGAGTCTGTGCCGGCTTCTCTCAATCCAGCCTTTCAGTCATGTATGATTCTCTTTAGCCTGCTACTCACTCATCCATTAGCCTGGATGTGTAGGAGAGGCAGTAGCAAGGTCTGGCCTGGACTGCTTCCATGGAAAAATGTGAGATAGAAGTCATTGCGGCCTAGGACTGTTGATGAGGTTGACTACCCTGCTTCCTCAAGCCTCTGAATCCAACATGTGCCATGTGTTTTCCATGCAGCTTGAGCCCTGCATTTGCCAATGCCTATCTCCAAAACTGAGGACATCTACTCACACAGGAGGACCCGGGATCCATAGGCAGGCTCCTGCTGGAGAGAAGGCATGGTGAGCATTGTCCCCATTGCCCCTGCTATCTCAGGTGCCAATCAAGCCATTGAGGTTGTGAATTTAAACTTGAAGGTACCATTTGCATTTAGCTGAGCAAAGCTCTCACTTCCAGCAGGGTGATTCTCAGAAGGCAGGCTCAGCCACATCCAGCTTTACAATGAACCTTGGGTATCTCTACCCACCCTAAGCGATGGGAGTGCCTCAGCAGTGATTAGGATGCAGTCATTCCAGAAAGTCTCCTCATGTGATAGGTGTCTTTGAAGTAAAAAGTGTGGGAGTTGGCTCTCTCCCTCTGCCATGTGAGTCCTGGGGATCGAAACTGGGTCCTTAGGCATGGTAGCAGGTACCTTTACCTGTTGAGCCATGTCTCTGGCCCTACGTTTTATTCTTAATTGGAGGATAATCCAGTATAGTTGTGTTGAAAGCCTGGATGTTTCCATGTGTGCTGGAATTGTGGAATAAGTATGTCCAGCTAAGTAACTAAACCGGCACCTCACACATGTAGTGAGAACATTTTGTACACCTGAGACATAATCACAGGGTTGCGGTCACATGCTGCGGTCACATGCTGGGGTCACATGCTGGGGAGCAGCCCTCCGGTCCTACTCAACCTTCACCCTCTATTCTGCATTTCCTGAGAGTCGCCCATCTCAGATGCTGGGTAGCATCACTTGATATCTGTGTCCAAAACTCAAGCCAAACCTATGTCATACATAACCTGTAAAGACAACATCACCTGGGGTGCACGTAAGGTAGGAGGTAAAAAATCAAATCAATGCTGATTTTCCCATGCTGGTTATAAGGTTATTTTTATTCTTGTATATGTCCCTGGGAGGTGGCTTCAGATTCTGTAAGAAAGCTTTGGATTTCCTGGAGCCAGAGATCCAGGCATTTGTGAGCAGCTTCACGTATGTGCATGGAACTGCATTATTAGCCACTTAGCTAGCTCTCCAGCCCCCGAAGTAATTTTATTTTAAAAAGAAAACTTTATCTTCTTTATTTCCTCCAAGTAATAACTCAGATAATGTTGAAGCAAATGTTAAAACATTTTTCCTGTCATTTTGAAACTGGTTTGTATACATCTTTTACTCTGGGTTACTGTATGAAGTGGGAATTTTGGCACCAAATTTATAGTTTGCATTGTAGATATAAGGGAGAGCACAGCAAGAGACATCTGGAAGAATCCAGAGCAGGAAGAAAAAAGTAGTAGGCTAAGCATGGGGTGAGAAAGGAGGAAGAGAATGGAGAGAACCTTCATGAATAGGCAGTTGGGAAGCCTAGCTTACCGGCTGTTGTCACAGGTCTAACAGACTTAGATGGTTCCAAGTCATGATTCCCTGAAGCTTACATGAATTTTGAGATTATAAACGAGATGAAAGTTTTAGATACATTATCATTACGATTGTTTGTAATCTACACACAAATCTACACTGTGTCTGTAAACAGCTGGAATAACGTCATGTCTTTGAGTCATAGCAGACCTTATGGTTTGGGGTTTAAGTAACGAACACTTTTTCCTCTGTCAAGAGGGCTGGGCATTCAGATTCCACAGAGATGTGTCCAATGTGATGAGAAGTTTTTAAAAGTCTGTACAACCAAGGGAAATTCACATTTTGAGATGTGACTATGATAACAGTTGTCAGTGTTCTACCAGAGCTAGATTAATGTTAAAACTCTGAACTTTTGTAAGTCTGCATATAACAATAGCACAGTGAGAGGGAATGAAATTAGAAACATTCTTTAGACCCTCACAACTTAAGCTTTCACACCCCCAGACCTTTACAAGCCTTGAATTACTTTCTTAGACCTTCACAACCTAGATTTCAAGCCTTTTTATTCTATCCGATCATTTACCATGAGACACAGGTGGCTGATTAGTAAGAACTGTCCCTGCAAAAGCTAGTTTCTTTAAGGTGATAATAAAAAGTTACATTTGTAGGGAGAGATCTTAGGCATCTGCACTGCTGACCACACCCACTTGGGCGTGGTCATGGGTACAGTAGTAGGGATGGGATATAAGAGCTTGGGGAGAGGAGGCACATGCTCCCTTTGGGCGCTTTCAGAGTGTGCTGACAGTATCCTTGGCATGGCTCCTTTCTCATCTACATACGCTGAAACCTGTTTTGTAAGTTGGTCTCCTTCAGTGTTAGGCGAGAGGAGCATCCCAGCAATCAGTGTGGTTTTTGCAATAACAATAGACAGAGATGAGTGGTTAGAACAGGGGGTTAGTAGAGAAAGCAGCTGAAGAGAAGGACTGGGAGAAGTTTTTAGGAAAAGGGAGGGTTGAGGGTTGCATATCAGATATTTACAATTCATTCATTATAGTAGCAAAATTACAGTTCCGAAGTAGCATTTTATGCTTTGGGGGAGTCAGCACAGCACAAGGAACTGTTTTAAAGGATCACAGCATTGGGAAGGTTGAGAACCTTTCTAATAGAGTGAGAAGGGTAAGTTTTCTTAGCAGAGAGACGCCCATGGTAGGCACCAGGAGGGTGTAGCAGGCTCCAGCAGTCAGAGGGACTATGAGGATACTTACTGGTTGGAAATAAGAGACAAATGGTTAGAGCAGACAGATGAAGGAGCATCTGAAGAGGCAGACTCTAGAATTCGGAGTCAAATATGGTGGGTGACAGAGGCCAGCAGAAACACACAATTCACATATACTTTAGGAGAATCTCAAATCAGTATTTTGGTTTGGTTAGGAGTGGCTCATATGTGTCTGTCCTGGGTTTCAGCACAAGATGTATAAAGTGACATGGACACTCCCAGGTATGGTTGAAGGATTTTTTTTAATGTAAATATGAGGGAGAGTGCAGAGCATGGCGAGAAAGTCATAGACTAAACTGAGCCATGAAAGGAGAGAGAGGAGAGGACCAAGAAAGAGAAGACCCAGAGGGCACATGGCTGAAGTGGCTGGGTTATATAGGAATGAGAGGCTGGGAGGAAGGGAAGCCCGTGAGCTGGAGACCTTTAGGGGATGGGGTGTGAAGAGCTAGGATGCCAGCGTGGACTATGTAGTGGGTACTTGCTATGCTGAGAGGGTCTGGAGAGTAGCATGCACTTTGGCATGCTACTAGGCACCAGTTAGCCACTTGTCTTAGTTTCTTTTGGATTTGACAGCTACTAGTTCTAACTCGCCTGTACTTTTTAAAAAGTGGGTTCAACTTCTGACAAATTATCAGTCTTTTATAAACACAAGTAGTTTGAGAAAGAAACATACACAGCATGATGGAAGTCTGGAATAGAACAGAGGTCCATATTAAATTGCTGCATGGAGGGCACCTGTGCACAGTTACAAGAACAGATGATAGTCTTAGTGACATCCCAGGGACTGGGGAGACGAACATATACAGTACCTGTCTGGTGTCTTCAGCTGTAGCCTTGTGTGGTGAAATCCCTCTCTCCTGACTGGTTTTTAATCCTGGCTGGGTGGTCACTCTTGCATTCCCCTCCGTGATCAGCAATGTGGATTTCCTCTCAGAATGTGTCCTGTAGACAGACATACATCTAGCCATTGTTATTAGAACTTAGAAGACCCCTCCAGGGCCTGCGTGTATCCTGCTCCACAGTAGCTGCACACAGTCATAGAAACAGTATCCACCTCTCTGGATTTAAAGTCAGGGAAGTCACTCAGGGGACCACAGACAATGTCTTCCTCTATGGCTTCATGCAGGTCATTAACCGGGAGCACATAACTCCAGAGGAGTCAGTGGAGACTATGATCTTTGCAGTGTCAGGAGGCATCCCAGGGCACAGTGGCTAGAAAAGCCATTCCTCATAGCTTGTGAAAGCTGCACCCATGCCTGACCCTGCCTCATTTAATTTATCACGCTTTTAATGTTTTTTTGTTTCGTTTTTCGAGACAGGGTTTCATTTAACTGTGTAGACCTGGCTGTCCTGGAACTCATTCTGTATACAAGACTGGGATTGAAGTCATGCTCCACTACCACCCAGCTCATGATTTTAATTATTAAAAAGAAATGTGTTAATCAAGTTGCAATGCCTGTAAGGAGACATTTGCTACGCACTGCTCATATTCTTTTGAATGGCCTGTCATGTTTGCTGCATCTGTAGGCTTATAAGCTGTCCTGTAGTCATGCAAGGCTACACTAATGTCACCTCGCACAGCCTATCCACGCAATGACTCTCCACCCCCGTGTACATGCATTGGTTATGTGACTCTTGAAAGAGAGTCATTTTTTCTTCTATCCATAGACCTTGTGTACATTTCTCGTCAGTAGAAATTTTGTCATGTGCACAATCCCTCTATCTCTCTTACAACAAAATAACAGGTTTCTGGGTAACTGGTGACCATGGTTTAAAGAAATGCCTTCCCCCCCAAAATAGGAAGTAGTCCTGGGTTCTGGAGAACCTAAAATCTAGAAGTAGTACCAAGCACTACTTTTACTGTGTAAATATCCTCACCTAAGGGAAGCAGGATGAGTACGCTGTGGTTAACTATGTGTATGCTTGGGAAAGAGTGCTATGAAGGTGAAAGGTAGTCTTTCTTCTAGAGACAGGATAGGGGAAGAAGAAGGGATGGGGAATGGGAGAGGTGAAAATCTGACACTTGATCAAATTCAAGCTGGACACTGATAAGCTGGTGGTCACCATGGCCAGAGACTTGGGATACTTGTGAGCTGCTTAGTCAAAGATCTTCCCATAATGGCTCAGTTTCCTGGGAACACCTATGTAATGCTCTACACAGTATGGATGTGTGCCTGTCCCCCACCCTGTCCTGTTGTTTGGGGGGCCAATCTTGCTTACTCAGACACCACAGCTGCATCCTGACTGGTTCCCCCAACACTGTAGGGCCTTACCATAGTGGTTGGTGGACAGTAAATGCCTCAGCTGGCAACTACTAAGGTCATGCACCAGTTATGTGTGTGGCCTGGGTCTTGCCCACTGAATAAGGCCATCTCTTTTCTGGCCCTTCATCACCTGACCCACCATTATTATCTAAATCATGCCTGATAGTCTAGTCTGCCGTACAGTGGTCTGTGATAAGTAAGGGAGCTTTGGGAAGAGAAATACCCAGAGAGTAGGAAATGGGCAAAAGGAGGGACTTACCACCTGCAAATTACAGTCCAGGTGAGACTGGCCAAACCACCAATGAGGAGTGCTCCCAGTGCAATAGAGACCCAGGATGCCCGAGGTAGCCTGCCAGAATCTGTAGAGGAGGATGCGTAAGTCAACAGACCTGACCAGCATGGCTATGGACCTCTACTTGCCTCGCTCCTACCACAACTCATGGAGGGAAACATTTTTAGGTGTTAAGTTCTTCCCTGGATGAATCAGAGGTGGTGAGAGCTGGTGGGGTCTGGCCCTGTAACTGGGAGAGAGGTTCAGGTCTAGTGACTGCTACAGTTCCAGGGCTGGGATTGGGATGGGGATATCCTTCCTTTCTCGTCTTGGGTGACAGACAGTGAGCTTCCTGAGTGAGCTGCCTGGGTATCCTAAAGGAATCAGATGGGACAGGACAATGGACACACAGCGGCTGCGCCCGAAGGACGCGGCACAGCACTAGAACTGTGTTCACACGCATTAGGGATCTGCAAAGATAGTGAGATTCGGCTGGGGTCCAGGAAGGCAGACTGAAGCTCTGTGCAATTAGAACTTCCGGGGAAATCTAGGGACGGATGACACATTTCCCAGTGGTCTTTCCAACATAGAGACAAACTGAACCATCCACTGAGAATTAGAAATGAAAGGGCAGAACCCTTGGGCCAGTCTAGCCAGGAGCCTGAAACATGTGATACTGGAGTCTGAGCAGGTGCTGCTCTCTTGTCTTCTGTGTCCCTGCCAAGTTCTAAGCCCACTGACTTCCTGCAAGGAGCTGTCAGTCTGTGGCCTTTTCTCCAAGCCCCGCTATCACAACCTTGTTATTGAATCCTCTGCCAGCCACTTATCACTAGCGCCCCAGAACTGCTAGAAACCCTCCAGCAGAGAACTGGCTTTTAAATGTCACAATGTCGCAGACTGTACCGTGTCCATCACTGTAAAAGGTGCCATGCCCCTAAAGCTATGAGGACTAGTCCCAGGAAGAGGCTGCAGGAGGTTATTAGGTCAGTGCCGGCCAGGGATGATTCTGAGTGAGAGAAGTGGTGTTGAGAGCGTTGAGGCCTGATATCATGTACTGGTTTTCCAACAGGGGCCTGCACCCCAGCTGTTCTCTCTCCATAAGATCTAAACATCTCTCAAGGTCTGACCCTTTTGAAAGCCGGGGACACTGGTATTTCTTACAGCTGACCCCCCGGGGTTTACATTGGGCAGTGTGTCAAGTGAAAACTATCTAGACAGCCTCTGCTTCTTTCCTAGGAACTGCCATACCAAGGCCTCTTTACCTTTCCCCAGCTTGGACTTGGCATTCTGTTAGGCCACCTACTGTGCCTCAGCCTACACATGACTGTAGAGACTCCAGACATGGCCTGTGCACCCTGCCCAGCTCCAAGCTCAGCTCTATGAACCTTTTGTGCAGGGTGTGAAACCTCCATGCATTTCTCACTCCAGAATGACATAAAGATCAATTTCAACCCTGGTTAAGACCTTCAGCCCTACACTTACAAGGGACATTGTCCATCATGCGTGTTTCTGGAACATGTGCTTTCTGGTGATAACACATCAATGAAGAAATTCTGTCTTCAGCTGTTTTCTGGCTTCAGTGCTAAGCATTCAGAGGGGACTGCTGAAGACATCCTGGACCAAACAAACATCACCAGTTGTGGACAGGTGCCCTTTAGCTGACAGCATCAGGAGTTTTACTCTGGGCCCTTGAAGCTGTCTCATGGATTAGCAATGTGTGTGGGCCTGTAGGGAATTAGGACGCTGACTTCAGGGTCTCATGGTTCACTGTGGTAGGTTTCTTTCTGAATTAACTATCTTGGGCTTACAAGGGTAAATGCAAACAGAGGCAGCCTCAAATTCTGCTGTATACATTCTGTAGCATGGTTTACATCTAAAAAGGTGTTTCAGACATACTGTTGAAGGCTGACATGTGCCATTCCCCTAATTTCTCTGGGTTCTCCTTGTCTACTTACCCCTAGATGGTGTGTGCCTCAGTTCGGCACCTGGGAAGGCTTGGAGCACCCTTAGGAACTTAACTAAAGTTTGATAACCTCAAATACAGTATTTTTCTTATTTTAAAGACACCAGCCAACAGACATCGCAAGGAAGCCACTCACCTATGCAGGTCTTCTCATCCTCTCCTAGCACATAAGGATCCGTGCACACGCACTGGAAGCTTCCCTTGGTGTTCTTGCACTTTGCAGAGGGGTGGCAAGGTGGGTGTGTCAAGTCTGCACACTCATTAACATCTACAGGAACAATGCGCAGTCATTAGTAGGGAAAAAAGAGCCTACGTCCCCAGCCCCATGCAGCAGACTCATTTTTTTTCCAGGCCAGCTACCACTTACGTTCATCCCTGGTATCAAGAACACCATTGTCATAGCCTTGCCACCTTCCCAGCTGTATTGTCACCTCATACTCTCTGTGCTTGTAAGTTACCTACAAAGCACCTCAGCACTGGTTCTGCGGCCAGGTCCAACTCTCCAGCCCCTGTGGCTGGTGGTCCAGCTGTGCTCTGCCTATGTCCCTGCTTACTCTGTCATTCACGCATCCACCCGGCTTCCACACAAGTGTGAGTCGCTGAACTTGCCTTTCCTGCCTCACTGCATGAGGACTCTGTTACCATGGAACCCAGTTCTGTGGCAGTGTGCAGGGCAAGCTGTGCCTGTGGAAGGTGATGGTTGGCAGACGCTATGCCCTTTCTCTACTTCTCAGTGAAGCCTGGGGATCTTATTACTTTTCCCATATGTAGTTTTCATGGCTGCCACCAGGAGTCACCACAAGCTGAGAGCCTAAGAAAAGAACCTGGTTTCCTTTCCATTCTGGAGGCCAGAAGCGTAATGAAGGTGTCAGAGCACCATGCCCCTCCACAGGATCTTCCTTTTCCTCTTCCGGAACAACTCTGGGTGTTTTGGGTCTTGCAGACTCATTGCCGTACTCCCCAAGTCTCTCCAACTGTCCTACCTTGGCATCTTTTCTTGTAAGGCCCCCAGGGTGGGGGCCACCCAGAAGCATCTGTAAAGATTGTTTTCAAATAGGGCCACATCCTGAGATACTGATGCTTAGGATTTGAACATATCTTTCTTTGGGACAACAGTCAACCTCAGGCTCAACATCATCAGTTCTAAACAGAAGTCACTCTAGAGGACCAGTGAGTTTGGGACCATGTACACTCTGGACTTTCCTACAGAGGATTAACCCTGAGAGGAGACTGATGCTTCCTACAAAGCATGAGAGAAAACATGTTGTGGTTGGCCACCTTATTAGAACTCCAGTGCAGCCTGCATGGAGGACCAAGGTGTTGTGTGTCTGCTAAAATTCTGATGTTTTTCAAAAGTAGCAGCTTGTGTCCTCACATCACCATGAAAGTATCTCCACAACTCGGTCTATCCTTGGAAGCAGACATAGAAATATATGCACTCATCCATTATACACATGTTGTATAACAATTACGAAAAGCCACAGACAGGCAGCTTCTATCCACTGGAACCCACAGCTTGAACAAAACTCATCACATACACTCATCAGTTTTACACGGATGGTGATTTTTCATTGCTATGATGAAACACTGTAACCAAAGCAACTTAAAGACAGTTTTATTTGTGGGTGGGGCTTATCCTTCTAGAGGGATAAGAGTCTATCGACCTCCATTGTGGTGGGGAAGCATGGCTGGAACAACTGAGCTCACACCTTAAAGCACAAGCCACTGAACAGAGGACAACTTGGAAGAGTGTGAGGTTTTGAACTCTCAAAGCTCACTCACATTGACATATTCCAACAAGACCACACCTCATGAACCTCCCCCAACGGTGAAACCAACTGGAGACCAAATCCTCAAATGCCTTAGACTATGGGAGACATCTCCCTCAAATCACTACACTCTACTCCCTGGTTCCCACAGGGTCATGGCTGCATCAGAATGCAGAATGCAACTCCAAAAAGCTCCATAGTCTTTGAGTCTTAACATGGTTTAAAAGTCAAAAGTCACTCAAGGCAATGAGATTATAACCCCTGCAAACTCAAAAGGCAACTTGCATGCTTCCAACACATGATGGCTTAGAATATATGTTGCTATTTCAAAAGGAATATATGTTGCTATTTCAAAGGAATATATGTTGCTATTTCAAAAGGAAAATACCAAGTCCTGTAGCTCCATGTTTGATGTCAAAAGGTTTAGGCAGCTTTGCCCTCCCAACCTTGGGGCCTGCAAGAACTGCTCCATTTCCACCCCAGGCTGTTTCTACTTTCTGTGTGCAGCTCTCTCTCTGGCAGATCTTCATGGCTCTGATGTCTGAAACGCCTCTGCTTTAACACAGGCTTCATTGACACAGCTTCGTGCAATGGCTCTCAGGGCCTCTTGCTTTCTCGAGGACCGTCTTGCAGGGAGGGACTCCCTGCCACACACCGCCTGACCTCAGCAGCTCTCTGAGACTGTGGAGGAAGGTTCCATGATCCATTTACTCCCACATTTTTCATGACTCTAAATCTAGCACAATATGGGTGACACTGCCAAGTGTGGCTACCAACCTGGGATGAACCCTGAATCCCTTGAGTCACTTATGTGGGAGCTTTTGTGTGTCGTCCCTTCCCCAGCCTCTTCCTTCCACCGTCCTTCCCTTTATTCCAAGGCAGCTAAGGCCTCTCCTTGTCTTCCTGTCTCTTTCATCACAAGCTTGGGTTGCACCATTAAGTTTCCTGGTGCTCTTTGTCTCTTCAAACTGTTTTGCATTCCGTTTTGTGCTACTCTCTCATTTTCATTGTAGACATGCATTAAGGGTGATTACTAATCATCATTTAACAGAGTCAATACTAGGATGTCTTTAAAATCTTCAACAAATAAATTAAACCATTGCTGTTAAATTCAGCCCCAGGCAAGTTTGTAAGACAAAAGCAAAAAGCGGCCACAATTTTGCCAAAATCTCGCAACGATACCATTTGCATCTAGAATCTATTGAGACGGGACCCCCACAGTCCACATAGCTTTTATCGCTACTATCTTTCAACAGCCTACTAGGGAGGTCATTAGGCTCCACCGCAGCATTAAACCACTTTTCTAGTCCGAAGTTCCAAAATCTTCTACATTCCTCCAAAAACAAACACGATCATGTCTGGCACAGCAATATCCCACTCCCTAATTCTAACATATGTACTCATTACTCATAATACTGTAATAAAATATCACAATCAAGGCAACTTCTACAATAAAGGGCTTAGCTGGACTGATTCCAGAAGGTTAATAGTCCATCATGGTAGAGTGGCATCGCAGCAGGCATGCATGGAGGCTGGAGCAGCTGAGAGCTCACATCTTGAGCCGTGGGCACCAAACAGAGAACAAACTTGGAATGCCACAAGATTTGCAACTCTAAAAGTTTGTCCCTATTGACATACTTCCTCCACCTAATCCTCCCCAAACAGCACAACCAACTGGTGGACCAAGTATTCAAATGCCTGAGACTATAGGTTTTAGCTCACTTAGAGTATCCCAGATGGATTTTAGGGACTAAACAGGATTTGAACAGAGAAGATAAAGCCATCTCTTTGGATTTCCTATGTTAAATAGTTAAGCTCGTAGCCCTCCCTTCTAGAGTGAGTCACATGGATAGGCACACTGGTTGGAGATCAGTTAGATACATATTCATGCCAATTTATGACAAAAATCTTTAGTCTCTATCATTCTTTAAAGATCCGTTTTGTTTCCTTGTAATTCCTTCTTTGGATATATGTAGTTAGAGGTAAAGGTTTAGTGAAGACATCTGTATGTATAAACACATCTGTACCTATAATGTTCCCTCAGTGCCCTTCATGATTTGCATGTAAGAATATTATGAAAACAACAAGGCAGGAAACTTGGATTTGCAATCATAGAGCGAGTAGTCTCTCTTCCTTCCCTCTTCCCATCTTGCTCTGAAGAGACACCTGCAGTTATGAGGTCTCGGTCCTGCCGTGCGCTTTGCAAGCTCATGAAAACTTTCATCTATGCAACACATGCAACTAGCTGCCGTTTCTTCCAGACAAATCAGAATGGGTTCCCATCAAGTATGCCACTCTGTCAGCTGTGTTTTTGTTCAGCAGTGTTTCTTAGGTGACTTGGTTCTATTGTACTGGCAGACCCCCTTCTAATATATTCAGCATGGTATTTCATGGTGTGTATACATTCACTGCTGTAAGGGCACTAGGCCTTGTTCTTAGTGTTGTACGTTCGCTAATTAATTTAAATAGGCAGCCAATGAGCTGGATCCCATGAGCATTCTCGCTGTACCTTGGAAGCGGGAGTAAGCTGAGTGACCTCAAGGGGCATAGCAATTAGCTACTCTGGTGTGAAGCTGCTGAGTCACTGCATTGAGGGAAGAGGACATGGTCAGTGCTGCTCAGTGGGTGCCTCACCCTTAACTCACATGGCTTTGTAGTGCCTCGTGGACAATACCCATTCAATTTCAGAGCTGTTGGCCCTGAAATGTTGCTGGCCTGTAAAGAGAAGGCCGTTTCTTCTGGTGTCATGGAGTCCACATTATGAGTTCACTTGTTGCAAGTACAGGCCATGCTACTTGATGTTCCTCCTGACAGCTGACAAATTAAGCCGATGGCCACTAAGTCCTTGGTACCTGTTCACTGCTGTACCTAAATCCTCCTTCCTTCACTTTAGGGAGCCAGGAACTGACTGCTAAAGGGAAAAGTCAGGATAAAAACGGCTGAAGGGTGTGGACTGGGGACAGAAAAAGTGATTTCTATGACATAAAGCTGTTTAGTGGAAGCAGAAGGGGCGTGCTGCTCTCAAGAGTTCAGGGCACAGGAGCCCCGTGAACTGTTATGTCAGCTCGTATTCAATATAGTCAGTGATCAGCTCAGGCAGACTGCGGAGGTGTAGAATTTCCCTTAGCTAAGCTTTCCTTTGCAACTGTAAATCCTAAAACAAATAGCTCACATGGGTATGTAGAAGTTTTAGACTACACGAAGTAAGTCTAAGAGCACACCATACCAGGGCTGGTCAGCCGTAGGACATCACGGTGTCAAACCTAAGTCTCACACCCTAACGAGACACTGCCATTGGGGAGAACTAGTAACCCTGGTGGAACAAGCATTTTTTGTTTGTTTGATTTTTCAGCCAAACAGCGTGGAGGTTTCCAGGTTTGTCATAATGTTAGTGAGGATTAAGCGCAGAGTGTGATAGCTCAGGGTAATCTAAGCAGCAGTTGTCAGAAACAACGTGTGCACATAGATGCTGCCATGTCATAAAACAGCTGGGCTCCTGTCACTCATTCTGTGGGCATTCTGTCTTCTGGTAGAGAATCTCTGATGGTATCATCAGTGATAAAGTCCTTCGCCTTGTTCCCTGACCCAAAAGAGAATTGGGGAGTCTGTTAGCTCTGGGTCTTCTCAGCCTACTTTCTAATGACAGTGGGACTGTGGGTTTACACCCAGGTTTCTAGCCCACAATAGCTTCCATCTCTTCCAACAGTGGTGGCCTTTGGACCTATTGATTCCTGGGCAGCTCACTTGCTGCCAGCTCTTTTCCTAGCTCTGCTTCCTCTCCTCCTTGTTCTGCTCTCTCAGGCTGCAGTCATGCACTGGGGAACCCAGTGTGACCATCTGACCTGGAGTGCAGAACACGAGAGTCAGCCGTGTCTATGGCTGAGACTTGGCCTTCTGCCCCTTTACTGCTCAGAGTTTAGAAGAGAAGATCATTGCAACCCTTGAAGAACAAAGCATTTTGGATTCCACAGTTGCAATGAAATGTTTATCCTTGTGGCAAAGGAGGCATAGGCTAAAGCTTGCCCTCAGACACTGGGCCTGGGAAGCTCAGAGGTGTCTGTCAGGTTCACAGTGCTGTACAGAGTCTTTCCACCTTTCCACTGCTCAAAGAAAAAAAAGACAACCTTTGGATTTTATCTCTTCTGGAAAACCAGCCAAGTTCTCTCATGACATCGCCTCTGCCTTCAGACTTTTGCTAAATGTGTGCCGCAGCAAGCAGGCCATAGAAGGCTGCCTCTGGGATCACTTGGTATGCAGGGTCTGTCTTTCATTCAGGAGTCTATTATTCAAGTGACTGCCGGACGTTGAGTCCAGTAACTCATCTTCTCTAAAAGCAGGCCTCCTGTGCCTTTTCTCACTGCCCCCTTCCCCTTGCAGAAGAATTACCTAGGGCAGGAAGATTTCAAGTAAAATAGAAGATACTAGCTACTGTACTGATACGTCTCATTGGCAGGGGACTAGAGCCCAGTCTTATTCTTTCTGACAGACTTGTCTCTTTGCAGGTAAAACCCAGGCTCTTCCCCCACAGTCTGACCCCTAGCATCTTGGAGGAAATACTTGCTTCGCACAATCACAAGAGAGAAGTGGATGGTGGAAGCCAGGGGAGTCCTTACAGCAGGGCCTGAACGTGCCCGTTTCTTTCTCTCCTATTACTGGATGTGAGAGGATTGGGAAGAGATTCCATGAGCATGAGGAGACTAAGAACACAGCTGGGATTGGGATGCCTAAGGAGGTGATAGTTCTTTCTACGGCTGCCTGCAGTGAGAACCAGGGTATGAGCTCTCGTGGTTCTTCCCACAACCTCGTCTAGAACTAACTGGCCCCGTTTCTTCTGTCCTTCCCTAAATCACCAGGAATCCAGATTTGAAGTGACTGTCCATGTTTTGCCATCTGAAGAAAGCAATGGAGTGTGGCCAACAGAGGGGGTATCTTCTCCTGCAGTGCCAGAACACCTCTAGTGACACACCTGTGCTCAGAAAAATGTTTTGGTAAAGGATCTGATCTCCTTTGGGGAAACACAGATTGATTCATAATTGCTGTTGACCTCCATGCCATGTGACACCACTGACCTTTACAGACAGGAGGCTCGGAGTCCCACCCATTTTGGGTGCATGTGACCTGCTCTTGGCCATGCAACTTGTATCCATGGAGACAGAAATACACCAGTACCAGCTTTCCAGACTCTTCACAGTGCACAAAGTTTCCATTGTCCACTTTGTCTGGGAAGACACATTTGTCATCTGTGGAATGTTGAAGGTCAAAATTCAGTGAAGTCACAAAAAAGAAATACTCTAGACCACCAGTCCTGCTGTGGGTTGAGCTGCATTCTTCAATTAAAACTTTATTTCCCATTACCTGTGTGTCTCTATGGGCATGTACAGCATGCATCCCCGTGTTTCTTCTGGTAAATGGGTCCCAGGCCCTGGAGAAGTACCTGCCATGTAGCTAATTCTTGAAGCCAACCAAGACTTATATGGCACAAAGCTGATGTCATATAGTTAATGAAAGAGTAAACACTTCGTGCAGTTGAGAAAATTTCTTGTATGGTAAACTACTTGCTGCACAGTTGTGAGGACCAGGATTTATATACCCATAACCCACAGAAATTCTGGATGGGCATGGCACTGTGACCATAATCCCAGCACACAGGAGGCAAAGACAAGGAATTCCTAGAGCAATATGGCTAGCCACACCAACCAGCTCTAGAATCAGTGGGAGACCCTGCCTCAATACTGGAAGATAAAGAAATCAAGGACACTCAGTGTCAACTTCAGGCCTCCAGATACAAGTGTGCACAAATGTGCACCCAAATATATACAAACATAAAAATGCACACATACCCGTCAATGCGCACACACGCAAAAACAATACATGTTTTGTGTCAGTGGTAATTTATGAGGTATAATTTAGTTTATCCTAAGTATAGAACTAAAGCCAAGGTGATAACATTTACTTTGCTAATTACATCTCAGGAATCTGTAGGTCCCTGCTCAATTGTACATTTTTTCGACACAGCCAAGTGTCAGTCACTACTTGCTCTTAAATAAGAGCTCATCTGCTGCTTGTCAGCCAGGAGGATCCCAGGACACTCTGTAAGCACCCATGGTGGCCAGAGCTCCAGAGGGCTGTTGGAATCTCATGGGTACAGAGCCATGGCAGAGAAGGAGCATCTGGGTTGCCAGTACCAAGGCTCAGCAGCTATCAAATAGTGTGTGAACTTAGATGGGGTACATACAGGTCTTTCAACTGTTGTAGACCTCTGGTCCAATTCTTAGTTCTCATTGGGGCACTACCATACCACAGGAGAAGGCAAGACTCAGCAGCACAGGGTTAAAATCAGTCTGTTTGAGAGGTTACACTGACTTTAGTACTGTGGCAAAATAACAAGAGGCTCAGAGTTACCTTGTGGAAAGGTCTCCCTCCACACTTCAAGGTCCATGCTAGGGATGTCTTCACAAGACTCAAAGTCCTGGGGGAATTTTCCAGTATGGAAGGCATCCACAGGTACCCTGGTGAGGCCAGTGTTGTCACAGATGACCCGCGGTAGTGAATGCTTTTCCAGTTCCTGCCTCTGAGCATCTGTGAAGACATGTCTGTTCTCCCACCAAAACCTGCACAGGAGTGGGAAGTAGGATATAGTGCTTCTTCTGTTTCCTCATACACTTCACATCCCTGATTGGGGGATGTCCTTCTGTATATGTGATTCTCTTATTGGTTGATGAATAAAACTGATTGGCCAGGAAGAAAGATAGGCAGGGCTGCCAGACCAGGAGAAGGCTGGAGAGAGGGAGGCAGGGAGAGGCTGTCATGAAGAGATGCTGGGCTGCTGAAGAGATGCTGGGCTGCTAAAGGAGTAACATGCCAGATTATGGGTCAGCCACAGCCTCATGGCAATATGTAGATTAATAGAAATGGGTTAATCATTCAGAGAAAGAGCTAGCCAATAATAAACCCTAGCCTTTGGCCAAATTTATAAATTATTATAAGTCTCTGTGTGTTTATTTGAGGTAAAGCGGCTGTGGGACCAGGCAGGACAGAAACCTCCATTTTCACATTCCCATGCAGAAACATACTTGAGGGTGACTACAGCATCCAGGGCCTGTGAGAATCAGGCATTGTAGACATGGAGGAGGAAAGAAGGGTGTGAGCCTGTCTGTGGATGGGCCATCTGCAGGGCAGCATGAGCTGACCAACTTGTAGGGGAATGGCTACCCTGTGCCTGTATGGGTGTACCCCACCTCAGACAAGTGGGACAACCACAAAGTCAGCCACAGGTACCGTTCAGCCCAAGGTCCAAGTGTTGTCCTTACCTCCAGGCCAGGTGAGCAAAGAGAAAATAATGTTAGTTCTTCCCAGAATATGCATATCATGGACAAAGATCCAGCTTCCCACAGCCCTTTACCATTTAAAGATCATCTCCATTCCTACTTGGGAACACATTTCCTTAGACTGTGAGAAGGAACTGAAATTTGCAAAAGGACTTGGAAGGCACAAGAAGGAGTCTCCTCTGTGTCCATTTACTGATTGAAGTGTTGGAGACACTCAGTCATAAACAGTAGGGCAAAGAACCACTGCATCATCCCAGCATCTGCCAAAGGCTCTTGGACTTTGCTGTTGGACCTGACCCAAAGGTCATGTCATACTCAAGGGAGTCCAGGAATGACCTGCCTCCAAAGCTCGTGTCTTTTCATTCCCTCACTGGGTCAAGCCACATGATTTTTCTAAAGACATAGTGTCAGGGGAGAGAAAAAAAATCCACCAGGATTTCTTCCAGTTGTCTTCGTCTCTGTGAAATGTTGTATCCCAGAAATTAATGGCAACATTTGTAGCAAAGGTAAAGAGAGAAGCCCAAGCCTGTGTCTAAAAGCCAAGGCAGTCTTGTAAAGCAGTCTTACAGGGAGAGAGGGATGGATGGATGGAGGCAGGCAGTATGGAGGGGGAACTAGTAAAAAAAAAAAAAGAGAATCCTTGGATGGATGGATGGAGGCAGGCAGTATGGAGGGGGAACTAGTAAAAAAAAAAGAGAATCCTTGGTTTTCTTTGTTTGTTTCTTCATAGGTCCATAATTCTAATGTTTCACCTTATGTTTTCCTCCGATCACCATATGGTGTCAGCCCATGATGTGTAATGCACCTGCTTCTCTAATCCCCTATGAGGGAGCTCAGAATTCTAGGCTGAAGTGGAAGAAGGAGCATGTTCAAGGATAGGCTGTGTGGGGCTGGAGGTGGAGGCATGGTGGGGAGTGGGATCGAGTCTGCTTAGCCACAGACCAGCTGGGTATCAGCTGGGGTCCACATAGACATCAAGGCAGGTCTACATGTCCAGTGTCAACAGTGCCAGCAAATAGCCGAAGATGGAAGCTATAGATGTCACAGTTTGCATTTTGTTACATGCCTTCTCTTCTTCATGGCTGGGAATATGGGGGAAGTGACAGAATCATCTGAACAGATTGTCTGTATGTCTTGTGGTCCTTTTTTTTTGGTGTCAGCATTGTTTTAGAGTCCAGAATGTTATGTTTGAGAGAAAACCTGCCCAGAGTCACATAAGCACTGGAACCCAGATCCAGTTGTTCAATACAAGCCTTATGTGGAACACTGTATTATGCCCAAAACATGGAGAAACTTTCCACTTACCTGTCCCCATCCCTCAGGGCTTTCATCTGCTTCCCAATAATGCAAGCAAACAGAGGACCAGTGCGGGCCCCCGGTAGCAAGTCTTCAGCCAGGCCTCCCAACCAGACGTCAATATTGTCCGCATGTTTGTACAAGTCCATTATCTTATTGACGACACTTCTGTTGGTAATGGCCCTGCTCAGTTCAGCTGATGTTTCCAGGCGTGACAAGCCACAGAACTCTCTCCATTCATTGTAGCCTGCACAAGAAAGAGGATAGGTCCAGTTTTTACAGGGACTTAAAATTCACTAATGTACCCATGGGTTCTGCTGTCCCCTGGAAGCCAGAGTTACAGAGATACAGGCCTGTATGCCATTCCCTGCTGCAGGGTGACCATTGTGTCATTGTGGCATGACATTCAGCCCTATGGAATTCAACAGTACAAAGCATGTACTAAGCATGTACTAAGACTTGGGGTACATGTACACTTAGAAAGAGTGTATTTTGGAGTCAATTAGGATAGAAAGGGTACCAAATCAAGGTACTTTAGTACATTCATACTGTTATTGGCTTTGTCTTCTACTGAACTAAGGCAATAGGCCACACCCTCTTCAGAGCTATTGATGCCCCAGAAGGACATTGAGAGCTCATGGAGAGCAAGAGCATACCAGCACACACGTGTGTGTACACACACATACACAAACTTACATAGACACACATAAATATACACACCCACACACTCTTACACACATATATACACACACTCACATAGACACTTACACATAAATATATACTCTTACACACACATACACACACTCATACATATACTTACACATACACACATACTCACACACATACTCTTGCACACACATAGACACTCTTATACACACTTAAACACACACACAGATTATACATATGTGCAAGCCTGTCTTCCCTTGTCTGACTGTTTCTAACATTGTAGATTATCTTCCATGCTTGAGAGTGAGCTCAGCATCGCTGGCAAAGCCCCGCCCTGGCCTCATGGTCCCAGCATCTCTCACTCTGTCATTGTGTCTACATGCCACACTCTGGCTGTGCTAGGCTGCTTTCTCCAGTGAACACATGATCGGATCTTACAGTGTCCTCCCCGTGGGCTGCCTTTGCCCTCATCCTCATTTGGAGTTCTGCTGTAAGTCTGTCTTTTTCCTGACACCGATGGGAAGTACCAGTCACAGTCTGCTGCAGGGCTCAGCAGACAGGGCAGCTCCCTGTGCATTCTGCCCTCTGTATCCCATTGGAGTCTGCCCTGTGTTATCCCCACTGCCTTCCACGTCTTGACCCTCAACAAATACTGCATAAACACACACAAAGAAATGCCCTGATGGCCAGGCCAGGTTTCCACAGGGGTAGCAAGGCATTAATAGGAAAAAACTTTGGGATTCATAGGGAGCCCCATGGATAAATAAAGTAGACTCTGAAGAAAGGATCCTGCATCTTCTGGGTAGTCTAAGAAAGGATGCTAGAGTGAAAAGATCCTTGCTGAGCTGTGGAATGGGGGTTGGGAGCTCCTAGCTACTGGGAACAACACAGAGGCAGTAGGTTACAGTAAATAGAAGTCAAAGTGAAGAGAAATCATCAGTGAGAGTTTAAAATCTGGTTTGTGAATGCTGCCATCCAATGGTATTGAGTCAATCCTCAATGATGGTAGCGCTGCTTCCATTCTGATTCAGGAGAGGCTTGTGTCTGATTAATGTACGTGTGTGTGTGTGTGTGTGTGTGTGTGTGTGTGTGTGTGTGTGTGTGTGTGTGTGAGACTCCATCAGGGTCTTGGGAGAGACTCCAGTTCCACAGTTGAATGTCCTTTGAAGACTGGGACTTGACCCCAGGGCATGCAAGGAAATATATCAGAAAAGACATCTCAAGTGCAAATCACAGAGAGGGACATAGACTTTCTGTGGAGCTCAGAGGGTGCGGGGGAGTCAGTTTACACACAGATATGCAGGTAGTCACAGTCCTGGTATGTGCCTATAATCCCAGTTACTCAGGAGGCTGAAGCAGAAGGATCATGAGTTTGAAGCTGGTCTGAGCAACATCGCAAAACCTCTTCTAAAAACACAAAAAACCAGCCAGCCAAGCAAAGGACACAAACCTATTCCTTTGAAGCTGGCAGTGCAAGAGATTTGTTGTGTATTTCATGTCACACCAGACACTGAACCAGATATTCCTTCCCTGTACATTTTGTGGAAACTCATTCAGCCAATAGGCTTTGAGGTTCTGGCCCCTTTGGGGCGCAGGTCTCAGGTACAGTGTGTGAGCTTTCTCGGGCTCTTGAGCAGTGGTTGCAGATCAGATCACAGTTTCCTGCGCCTCCAGGGGCAGAATACCGAGGTGGCAGCTTTATCTTTACTGTGTGAGTGATTCCCCAATAAATATCTGACTTCCCTTTATTCAGGGATCTTGTGGACCTCCTTGATACATCCTCATTTGGGGCTCACAACCTTGAGATTAAGAGTCTCACGCTCTACTGACTGAGCTAGCCCTGCCCTCTAGCACAGGTAATGACGAAATTGACTGGCTATTAATAGGAAGTGTGCTGGAGGCCTCAGAATTTCATAAAAAAAACCCACTGTGTGAATAATAAAAGTTTCAAGAAGGATTGCTCCATCACTTGGCAACAAGCCAAGAAAATCATAAAAACAATTGTCCTACTTGTTCCTTTCTATAACAAAACTCCTTTACCGGCAGGAAGCAACCCTAAAGGTGCGCAAAGAAATGATATTTGAAAATGGGTGTGTTTCATTTTTCAGGATTTGGAAAATTAAAATATGAACACCATACAATATGTGCATTTTCAGGATTTCAATGGCAGCTGCTCTGAGCTCTGACAGGGCTGATTCTGTAATTATACACCTATTAGAAGTAATGGCCATCATGGTTGTACCTGCACAAATTAAAAACTGACAGTGCTCCAGCATAGGTCTCTAGTACATGAAACAGTTTTTAAATGTTATAACATAAAGCATATTTCAGGTATACCACACAATCCTACTGGACAAATAATTGTTGAGAGATCTAATCCCACTTTAAAAGAAATGCTTAATAAACAGGTAGAAGGAACCAAGACCTCCAAAGACAGATTGCATAATGGCTTATTAACCTTTAATTTTCTTAATGCCCATATTGAGGTATACCATCTAGAGACCTAACAAACCTGGTAAGCCATGGTCACGGCCTCTCTGTAAGTTTAGTGATGCCAGATCCAAGGTGCCCGAATTAGACAAGACAAAGAGCTTCTCAGTCAGTTCCTCATTCATCAGCTGCTCCTGTACCTGCAGCTTGGCTGGTCTTGCCAGGAGGCCTCTCACTATTGGATCTAAACCACCTGGAAAACACCATACACAAGTCACAGAGGTTTCTAGACCCCGGCTGAGTTCTGGGACAAAGGGTAGCTATAAAACATGTTTATTCTTAATAAACACCTGTACAGCTTTCCCAAATTACCTTTTGCAACTCCGAAAGCTTTCCTTGTTCCTTGGGACACTGCAGTTATTGGTAGCTGTGCGTGGAGGATGCACATGCAACACCTCGGGGACTAGATGCAGGCAGAGGCACTTCGCTGAGATTCATCGTTATTTATTTTCCAGCAGCAGAATGTTTAGAGAAGTGGTTCTCAATATTCTGTATGATAGTACAGCTCCTCATGTTGTGATGACCCCCAACCACAAATTTATCTTTATCGTTACTTTATAACTAATTTTGCTATTATTATGAGTTGTGACATCTGTGTTTTTCAATGGTCTTAGGTGAGACCCCTGGTGAAATGGTCTTTTGGGCCCCAAATGGGTCACAATACACAGGTTGAGAACCACTGATGGAGAGTCCAAGGAAATGGTCTCTTGACTCCACTATCTAGAGCAGTGAGATATGGCCTGATCTGGAAAACTGTCAGTTTCTCAAAGAACTTGCTCTGCTGCCCACAGAAGCCTGGGTCATCCTCACAGAAGGCCTCAAAGGAAACAAACCAGCCAGTTCCCAGGTCTTGCCCACCCTTCGCTGTATGAATCCAGAATTACATACAATAGCATCAGCTAAGAGGCCAGTTACCTTAGGTGCCCAACAAAGGCAACTTTATCACATATTTTGAACCGGGTAGGGTGGCTTGGGAAGATGCCAAACCTCCCCTCTCATGTTCTGCATGAGAGCTACTTGAGTATCAGTGATGAGACATACTTTTAGCTGCCATCATCGCCGGGCACTTACGTTAGAAACAGCTTAGAGATTATCAGAGGGAGAGAGAAGAACGTGGGGACAAGAGTAGAAAGAAAACATGTGGGGAAGCAGGAAAACAATCCTCTGGAGTTTAATCAGAGACCTTCGGTGTTGTTTTTCCAAATGCTAACATCCTGCAGTGCACAGTGCTGGTCTCATCAGAGGACCGGTACAGTGCTTTGTGATGAAGAACGACAGCACCATTTATAAGGCATGACCACCAGGACACTGCTACTTATCTATCTGCCAAGAGAGAATAGAGAGAGAGGGGGATGGAGGGGAGGGAGGGACAGGGACAGACAGACAGACAAACACAGAGAGAGAGAGAGAGAGAGAGAGAGAGAGAGACAGAGAGAGACAGAGAGAGAGAGACAGAGAGAGAGAGACAGAGAGAGAGAGAGAGAGAGAGAGCGCTCTATACCTGGATAGTTTATCCTGAGTATTAAAGAGCTCTAGAGGTGAGTCAAGACATTTATCAGGAAATTTCACCTTTTAAAAAACTTCAAACACTGCACTGGGGGAATGCGAGGCAAGCTCAAGAATCTGAATTTGCTCCTGAGAACCCAGGGGAGTAATTGTAGGGTGTGATGGTTAGTGCTTGTAATTCTGGTGTTGTGGGGACAGATTATGTTCAGTCATTCTAGCTTAACTGGTGAACTTCAGACGAGAGACCCTTTTGTTGTTGGAGTTTTCCAGCCTGGTCCTGCAGCCGATTAGCACCAAATAAACCCACAAAGACTTATATTAATTTATAAACTGTTGGCCAATGGCTAGGGATTCTTATTGGCTAGCTCTCTCTTAATTATTAACCCATAACTACTAATCTATGCATTTCTACATGGCCTTGTCTTACCAAAGAACACCTGGCACATCCCATCTTCCCAGTCTCTACATGGAGTCTCTTCACAGCGCCTCTATGCCTCTCCCCAGCATTCTCCTCAGCTCCTAGATCCACCTGTCTTCCTGCCTCTACTGGCCAATGGGTGTTTTATTCATGGATCAGTAAGAGAAACACAGATACAGTAAGAGAAACATCACCCTTTCTCAAAGGAAGTGGACTGTTTCCCTAAGGTTGACCAGAGGTCGTCCTCCAGCCAGTATTTGCACACATATGCACCTGCACACACAGAAACATGCCTCATTGGTACATATGTGAAGAAGGGCTTTGAATATATTTATGCTTTCCAAATACTGATAAATTAGATAGCATTAACTTAACCAACCAGCATGGAAGGTAAAGGCTCATGCTGTGCTTCGCTATAGGATCAAGTCAGGAGGATGTGCATACCTTCCTGGATAAGCCTCCAGGGCCTGAAGAAGGCATCATGCAACTGCAGCCTGGGGAGGTCTGTGTGGTCCTGGAAGTCAGCATCCAGTCGTCGCACCAGAGGATGGACTGTGGCATGGCCAAAGCGGAAGGCAGCGGTAGAGAAGATGTTGGAAACAGTAGGGTTCACATTGGGGTCATAGCCTTTGTAGGGGCCCACATACTGCCTGAAGGCATCAGGACCAAGGATCTTGGGGATATAATCCCTCATGGTGATGATCTATAGAGAGAGAGACAGGTGTTCTCTGAGCAGGAAAGGTTTTCAGCAAAGCCCAAGGATGCTTTCAGGTCAACTGGAGATTAAAAATAAAGCAACAGGGAGGAAGTCTGCCTGGGCGTCCTTGTGAGAGAATATCACAGGATTGGTGAGCTTCCGAAAGGAGCACACAGCCCACAGATTCAGACAGAGGTGTGGGAGGGGACATGCCCACCAGGTAAATGCAAAACACATAAGAATGTTTAAAAAATACAAGTAGAGAAGACACATTAGATTGACAAGGGTAATATAGAAATCTGAGAGTGTCTTTTCTGTTCATGGAGACAGTTATCACTTTCCTATTAAGAATAGGCCACTGGATGATTAACGTTCAGGTCAGTTGAGATCCTCAGATATGCAGAACTGCACCCTCTATTTTACAATGATGGAGCTTGTGTAAGGGCGTACCAAAGAACTCACACCACCAACACTGTAGAAATTTACCAAGGAGAAATCTGGAGCCAGGGCCACTCATCACAGCAGTTTTGTACATGTGAATGGTCAGTTGTGGACCTGGGTACAGGGGCCCCTTGGTCCATCCTTGGATGATTGGCCAACCCTCACTTAGACAGTATGAACTCTGATAGAGGCAGTAGGGAAGGAGACTCCTCCTGGGATTATTCCTGGGACTTTCACCTCTGTAGAAACTCAGTACATATTCATGAGGCACCTGCACTTTCCAGTGCATTCTAGCTGCTTGGAAATAATAATAATAATAATAATAATAATAATAATAATAATAATAATAATAATAACAGGCCTCAATCTCTGTCCCTGTGAAGCTTACAAACTGATATCCATCACTGGCCGGGCCTGGAAAGTCATAATCAGAGAGAGCAATCAACATAGATTTATCTCCTGGAATAGGGAGAAGGTAGCCAGCTTTGGGGGTGGGGGTTCCTGTTGCCAATGGAATGACACCCCACTCTGTACAAAGAAATCACAATGTCTGGCTAGCTCCTTGAAAATGGCAGGGCTTTGAGGTTCCTGGTCTTGTCCTAAAGCTACTATATAGAATTGGTTTGGTTCTGCCCTCATGGATACTGGTGACGTTCTGCTGGGGGTACCCACAGTGATTAATAAAGAAGTGTCTATATATGCCTGCCAAGCAGGGTTACAGCTACTTAATGAAGCACGCTGTGCTCGAGTTTATCATCAGCCTCAGTTTCAATGTTTTGTATATCTCATTTCTACTTTCTTATCTAAGCCAGAGCAACACAGACACATGTTAAGAAGATAACTGTATATGGGGTATGAATATTGATGGTCAATTTATTAAAGAAAACCACTCACAAGAGAAACGATAACCAGATTGGCGCTCCGAGAAATCCAGTCTCAGCCACACTCTGAGACCTGATTGGAACCCCGAAAAGAGGGCGAGTGCCTTTCTCCTCAGCCCTTTATTCTGCGTGCCCATACGCACCTGTATCCACGCCCAAAACAGGCGTGGTCAGTGGCGCAGGTGCCTAGGTCTCTCCCTACAGACAAACATAGACACATGAATATAAATGGACACATACAAATACAATTAACTCAGAAACACATGTAGAAAAGATGAGCAACCCAATTCAAGCTCACAGACACACAACACACACGCAAACACTGAGCGCAGATAGAGTATACACAGTGCACGTGACTTCTTAATCAGAGCTGATAGACACCAATGTGCACCTCTGTGTACACACGGCTCTTAGGGTGTTTGAACATATCTGTGCAGCTGGTAAAGATGTTCCAGCCTCTAATGCTGCCTATTTTCACGTCCCCCTTACTCCCAGCAACTCATGGGCTAATGCCTGCCCTCGGGTGCTTGAATCCATGGTAGAGCACCTGCTCCTGGGCTGCCCTGTAAATGGAGTTCTTAATTGGTCTAGATAATAAAAGGCTGGAGTCAGTTATAGAGGGAAATGCTGAGAGATCAGAAAGAAGGAGCAAGCCACAGCACACCTTACCTCCTAAGTGTCTCAGCAGAGAAGAGAGCCTGTTTCTCCCTGCTTATATCCTATTCCTGCCCAGCTACATCACGTCCTGTCTATCTGTACAGACCTCTATGGTTAGCTGGTGACAAGTTCCATTCTCTGACTCCCAGACAGGCTTTATTTGTGCAAGAAAGGTATCACCACACAGCTCCTTGCAACTATGCACAGGAGGACAAACTCTCTTTCTTATTTGTTAGGTGAGATTGAAGTGACCTTCCTGTCTTAGTTAGGGTTTCTATTTCTGCGATGAAACACCATAACCAGAAAGGAAGCTGGGGAGAAAAGGGTTTACTTGGCTTACACTTCACCAAAGGAAGTCAGGATGGGAACTCAAACAGGGAAGGATCCTGGAGCAGAAGCTGATGCAGAGGCCATGAAGATGTGCTGCTTACTGGCTTGCTTCCTATGGCTTGCTCAGCATAACTTCCTATAGAAACCAGGGCCAGCAGCTGAGGGATGGTTCCACCCACCAAGGACTGGGCACTCCTTGATTGGTTACTAAATGAGAAAATGCCTTACAGCTGGATCTCAAGGAGGCATTTCCTCAGCTGAGGCTCCGTCTTCTGATGACTCTAGCTTGTGTCAAATTGACACATGAAACTACCCGGGACACTTCCCCACAGGGTTTCTATGAGGACACAGGGGTGATGCCAAGTGCCTAGCACAGAGCCTGTTCTAACTTGACACCGGAAAGTTAACATAAAGCAGTGGTTCTCAACCTTCCTAACACTTCAGCCCTTTAATACAATTCCTTATGTTGTGGTGACCCCAACCATAAAATTACTTCATTGCTATTTTACAACTGTAGCTTTGCTACTGTTATAAACCATAACAGCAAATAACTGATATGCAGCCTCTTAAAGGGTTGGGACCCACAGGTTGAGAAACACTGGAGTAGAGTAAAATAACTCATTCTTCCATAACAACCTAGTGAGACTGTGCAGTCAGTACCGCATTTTTCTTTTTCTTTTTCTAAATATGATATTCTCAGTCACACAACTGATAAATGACCAAAAGGAATCTCCATTTAAGATCCCCTAACTTTCAAAAAGAATCATGAAATAGAGTTTTTTAAACCGATTCCTAATTTAACTTGACAGAATGACTAGGATCTCCGTTATTACCAAAAACACAAACACGCCAGAATCCAGCTGTGTACCTACCTCACAGTGCTGCTGTTAGGAGTATTGGGGCTACACTACGTGGGGCCCCATGAGTTACAGTCACCAGGCAGCAAGCAGCCAATGGAGGGACTTGTTGCTGGCCCCGCTGTAGCCCAGCTGTAGGAGGTCTGTGGTCCTACGGCTACTCTGGACGATCCAGTGCTGCGGCAACAGAGCCAAGGAGTCCCCTGGGACTAGGAGCATTTTGCTCACACACACTTGTCTCTTAGAGGTCCCCACTTGAATATCCCAAGGTGACTCTGCCAGAAACTCAGAGATACCACGGTGGTCCTGCTGGAAGCCAGTGGTAAGCCCACAGTGACCCTGCCCAACCCCCCTAGGGTGCTCACAGAACCCTTGCAGACACATCTTGGGGCACCCGCTAGTCCCTGTCTGTACCACCGCCCGCCCATGCCGAGACACACACCTGGTGCAGTGCGCCCACCACCTTGCGAGCCTCCTGATAGACAGTTTCCGCACTCCAGTGTGTGTTGATGGCCTTGAACGCAGCAGCCAGGCGGTTGTGCTCTCGCAGCCAAAGGGTGTGCACAGCTGCTAGGCCCGGGACCTCACTTGCGCGGCCATCGCCAGCCAGGAAGCAGGGTGTGCGGGCGGCACGTGGGGCACCAGGCTCTGGAGCGCAGGCAGCGGATGCGAAGGGCAGATAGCTGCCACCTGTGTCTTGGTGGCGTGTGTTGACTCGCAACAGCCCTGCGGGGCTGCTCCAGTTGCGCAGCTGTTTCTCAATGCCAGGGGAGCTGCCATACACAGTGGACGCGTCGAGGAAGGAGGTCAACCCATTCATCTGCTGCCTCGGATTGGCCGCAGACAAGTTGCCAAAGAGAACTCCCTGGTCCCCGGTGCCACAGGCAGCTGAGGAGCGGTAGAAAGGCAGGCATGCAGTGGTCCCTGAGGAATTTGAGGGAAGCTGTGGCAAAGGGGAGACTAGATATCACCTCGGGCTCTTAGGCCCTTTTAGAATCTTAAATCATAAAATGATTTTGAGTTGATTAAATGACCATCCCTGGTTCACAGCACATGGAATGACCTGGGAATTGTGGGATCATTTGCACACACAAAATAGTGTTGTACGTAGGAGTGCAATGAGTATCTAAGAAGCATATGTAGGAAGCTCCCGGGGAGAGGACATGGGAAGGAGACTTTGTGTCTGTTTAATTTTTAAACAAGCACATGTTGTTTCATAATCAATGAAGAGTTTGGGGAAATTACCTGTATGGGGAAGCAGGGATTTTGATTCTCACAGGTGAGCTGGCAGTCAACATCTTCCCAGAAGGCTGTTGTGCTGGTGCTCTGTGGTGTGAGAGCAATGTCATGATCGATGTACTGTCCCCACACTGTCAGGAAGTCAGAGTACTGGTCGTCTTCTGTCACAGCCTCATTTGAAACTTGAATGAGGTGCCTTGTCACCTCCCGTACCTGGATGAAGAGAGCAGATTATAATGATGTAGACTGCACTGTGGCCAATAATGGAGACCTTGAGGTCTTATCTTGTTCACAGTGAGATCTTGTTCACAGCTCCAGAGAGACCTGGGAAGACCTGTCACTGTGGGTGTGATGGGAAGAGCCAAGATGGGAGACAGACACATTTGGGCTTGAAACCTGCTCCTGATTTGTGATGTCTGTGACCTTATGCTACCTCCCAGAGCCTTAGGAAGTACACATAAGATCTGTGAGTGGACAGAAAGCTGTCAGTTCCCAAGGTCATTGTGGGGAGTACAGGAAGAACATGGATAGCCCATGACTCAGGCCTGAATTGCAGGGTTCTGACCAAAGTCTTGGTACATAAAGAGTTGTCTCCTTTGCTCCAGGTGAGCCATTTTGCCAGCCACAGTTCAAGAAGGAAGAGAATATGCTCCCAGGCGAGTCACACCCATAACCTCTCCCTGTGCGCCTTCAGTGACAATGGTAAAGTTTGGGTTGGCCATTAGACCTTGAGTGCTGTGACAGAAGCGGGACCTACAGTGTGAGTGAACATGAATGGATATCTATGAATCTTTGGGGACCAGAAAGTAGATTACGATTCACTGTGCCCGCTGCGCAGCCTGCATCCGAGAATGTGTGGAGGGTGTCGGGATTGATGACACAGAGACCAGTCGGCGGTGCAAAGAAAAGTTTAAGCAGGCCCCAAGAAGGCTCAAGAAAACTTCCCAAGAAAGGCTTCCCTCAAGAAAAGCTTCTGCTCCCTTCCTTACCCCTGGCTGGTTCTGCCCTGACACCAGAGGCAGTGGTGGGTGGTTCAGGAAGAGACAGTTAGTCTTTGGAAAAGGTCGAGGTCAGGGCGTTCCTGTGGGCGAGCCCTTATCAGGAACTTATTGCTCCGGTAAACATTTCTTATGGACACCGGATTGTTTTCAGTAATCATGTTTTTAGTAAACATTGTCTTACAGCTGCCTACTTCCAGGCTGATGGGGAAGTGGGCCTCTGGCCAAGGTCTTTTGTTCTCACAATGATGGGCAGAATAACACCTCCAAATATGTCTGTTTTATAATATACAGCCTGCATGTGTGGTTAGATCAAAGACCTTGGAATATAAGAGATTATTTCAGGTTTCCAAGAATACTCAATCTAGTCACATGGGTCTTTAAGTTTTGAGTCTTTTTGACTGTTGTCAGAGAGTTGTGACTTGGGGTTGAAGACATGGAGAGATATTACATTACAATATATTAGACATGGTAGTGATACTACATTACAAGTAAAAGTGTGTGTAACCTTTAGAAGTTAGAAAAGATGAGGCTCAAGAGATGGTTCAGTAGTAAAAGTACCTGCCTTGTCTGTGTCAACACTGGGTCTTGAACCTCAGTACCCCATCAACAAACAAATTTGGAAAAGTCAAGGAGATGAATTTTCTGCCAAGGATCTCTAAAAAGACACAGTCATGAAACACCTTGACTTTCGGCTTTTAGTCTACAGAACTGGAGTTAAAAATCTATAGTAGCATGAGCCAGTAAACTTTGATTACGCTATTATAATAAAATCAAGAAATGAACAGGCTACACATAAACACACTTGAGTGCTGATTCTTGTAAATAGTAATATATGTAACCAGACATGAATCTGTAGAAGCTTAGTGTCAGTACAGAGCTTAGAAGACCTCAGAATTTGAACTGGTCCAATGCCAAATACATGATAGGCAAGAAAAACATCTTCTTTAAGGGTAGGTATAGTACCACTCTTTCTCAGAGAACCTTGGCTCTCAACTCCACCTGCCGGCCCGCACCAACTGCTAGGATCACTTGACCCTCAATAAAAAGACCCCCCCCCCAAAAAACCCAACCCAACCCAAACCAAACCAAACCAAAAGCCAAAAACCAGAATCTCTTTGTGATGGTAAAGATGTCAGTCCACAGCTGACTGGGCCAGCCCCTCCCTTCTGGTACTGATTTTCCCTATGCTGGGCTGAGTACTTGCTATCACACGTTTTTGAGAATTCTATTGTAAAATGTGGTACAAAAATAAATGTTGACTTATCCATTGACATGAAGAGTCAAACTAGGGACAGAATGAACCATGTTTTGGTGGACCCAATGGCACATGCTGAGCCAAAAGGTCAGTAGGAAATGAATGTATTTCCCAAATAAGTATGTATTTGATAGTAAAACAGTAGCCAGAACCTGCACATATATAGTGTACATGAGTGAATTCATTAATGAATGCATGTCTTTAACTGAATCTTGTCTTCTACCAATGAACAGAAGAATTTCTTTGAGAATGTTAAAATGCTTAGCAAGAGGAAAATGTCAAATTAGATGATGGTGACTTTAAATCTCAGTTGTTCTCCCCCCTAGCTGACTGTGGCTAACCTTCAGAGCCACCCTGATAGGTCTTACACCTCAGGGCCCCAACTTCTTAGGAAGTTTGGGAACACAAGGTATTGTGTGAATTCCTAAGTACATTGAAGCATCCCAGTAGTTAGTTGCCTATCACTCTCCAAAGCTGTGGGGAGTATGTTAGTATTGAGGAAGCCTGTTCCTGTTGTGTTGAAATAGGTTCTAAATGAGTACCAACCGGCGGCAGTGGGAAGCCATGGTATAAGAAGTCAGGGTTCCAGCCTCTGGGCTGACTGAAGCCATCTTCATAGACAGGAGGCAGCCATCTTGCTAGGGCTGTGTTGGAGGCTCCCCATCTGGGGTGATCTCTGTGGAAACAAATGAGGGGATGCGTCTGAGACGGAAGAGAATAAAGAAATGTTGGGTCTCAGTATAGCATAACTCACTCAAGATGATGCATCAAGATGGCGTCTCTAAATCTCCAGGTAGTCCCTACCAGCTGATCCTCCTGATGGGCTTCCCTGGGCTCTGTGGAGGGAACTGACTTCTAGAGCCTCTGTCTATAACAGTCCCGGGCAGCCATCCTGCCTGGAGGATGCTAGTCTCCTTACACTGCCCCTTCTCAGGTGCCACCCTCAGGCTCCTCTCCAAAGAAGGGCACTCATCTTTCTAGAATTTACTGTGGATTCTTACCCAGAGAACAGATATTTGGGGCATTCAAAGGGACTATATGAAATATTGTCATGGCTAAGCATCTTAATCAAGACACTTTAATCAAGACCCTTGTGCTGATCAGGACATTTCTACTAGAAATAAGGTACCCTGGAAATCACTACAGCATTATAAATTCAGAAGTGAGAGGACTGCCAATGGAATGCGTGTCAAAATGTACATTTGAATTAAAATAAAATCAGGCCTTTTCTGAGTTAATTGCTTTAAAGTAAGAATGAACCCCACCACCCAGGGTAAATGGGGATGTTTTCTATATACAAACTAATCTATGATTTTATTCTTTGGTCAAAGCATAACTTGGAAAAACATATTTAAGGTCCATGTTAAGGCAAAGGTGTGTTGATTAATACTGATTTCCCAAGATGTTTCTGAGTAGGCAAGGGACAGTGCCTCTACAACAAAGTGGAAAGGGCGTAATTAAACGTTGACACATTTTGGTACCTTCTCCAGAAGCTGATAAACTGAAATATTAATAATTGGCTACTAATCCTAGTGAAAAACAGATGTTTTCCAAGTTTTGTTTAAGTAGAACAACCACTTGGTTTTTGTTGATTTATGATAGACCAATATATATTTTGCTTTGTTTTTGTTTTGAGATGGTATCATGTAGCCCAGTCTGGCTTTGATGACCCTGAACTTCTGATCCTTCTGCCTCTACCTCCCTAGTGCTAGGATTACAAGCATGTACTTCTATGTCCATGTCCGATGTATGTGGTGCTGAAGGCTTTGCACATGCCAGGCAAGCGCTCTGCAAACCATGCTTCTTCCCCAGCCTCAGTAAGTGATTTTAATGAAAGCTCATTTGTACATTTATTTTCTTGTATATCTCAGAAAGAATTTTGAAGCCCAGATTCAGTTTTTGTAATAAACTTTTGTTGACAACTACAAGTTCACATTTACAAGGTTCTTCAGCCCCCTTCAGTGAAGAGGGGAAAGGTGATCCCTGCGTGTCCACCTCATGCCCCATAAGGGGGGAATGTGATCAGTGACTCAGTGCAAGCTATAGATTAGAGAGGTGTGTGGACGAGCAAAGTTTCAGAGTTAGAGGTGAGTGGGTGACAATCATTCAGGGCCCGTGAGGTCACAGAGAAAGGGATTTGAAATAAAAATGCCTGAGATTTTGGCTTTGAAACGTGTTATCTGCACTCCTTCCAGGGAAGCAGAAAGGCTGACAGCCAAATTTCACTTCTCCTTCGGCTCCTCCAGATCTAATCCAGCAACCTCATCGCCTCACCAGCTCGGCAGCAGAATGCCTCCCGTAGTCTCCCTTTCCTCTCTGACCCCCAGCCCCAACAGATCAGAAGATCTTCTCCTCCTTTCCCCAGTCCATCCCATAATCCCAGCCTCCAACACCAGCAGGCATTCCCTGGGAACACACCGGCTGAGCAGGCCAGGAGAACCGGTGAGCTAATTGAAGACCTTCACTATTCCCTCCTGTCCTCCGAATGAATCTGACTTCTCAGTCTCACCCTGAACCCTGCAACAGAACACCTGCTGCGGCTTGTCCTGCTCCCTGCCCACATCTCCTGTGGATCCCACAGACCTTCCCCTCCTAACCTCTTTTTCCCCTGTCATTGCTTTATCCCAGCCTCCAGCCATTCCCTGGGAACACAGCAGCTGAGCAGTCCAGGGAAGCAGCTATGCTGGCTGCAGATCTTCTCCTCTCTTTCTATTTCTCCAGATCTGTTCCTCCAATCTCATCCCTAGCTCTGGAGCAGACCTTCTGGGAGTGACCTCTCTTCACTCTCTGCCATAATCCCAAAGAGACTAACCAAACAGATACTAGCTGGACACACTGCTTTCCTCCAGTCTGTGAACCCTTTCAGACCACTGGCCTAGCCTTATTCCTAAGTGTCAGCTCCCAATACCCAGAAACACTTTTCACCTGGAAACCTCAGTGGCCACATCTATCAGGTCCATGGAGAATTTTCTACCAGGCTGCACACAGCCATCACACTCTTCTGAAGTTCAGAGAGGAAACAAAAAAATAAGGAACAAAATACCCAACCCAACAAAGACAAAGTCAGATACCAGTACCTAGATCTATAATCATTCCAATCCCAGATGCCTAGATACCAGGGTTTAAAAAAACACTATTAATAACAGCCAGGACAGTCTATATTAGAGGCCAGGAACCATATTACAGCAGGTCCTGAAAATTCCAACATAGTTGAAGCACAAGAAAATAAAAAAGGCCTTAAAACAATCTATATAAAGATGATAGAGAATCTTAAAGAGGAAATGCATAGATTCCTTAAAGAAATCCAGGAAAACCACAGATAAACAGTGGAAGAAAATGAATGAAATTGTTCATGGCATGAAATAGTAAATAAAATCAATAAAGTAAACTGAAAGTTCCCCAATTTGGGGGAATTCTGGAAATAAAAACATTACGAATTTGAACAGAAACTAGAGAGGCAAGCTTTACCAACAGAATAAAAGAGATTGGAAAGAATCTCAGGGATAGAAGATACACTAGGAGAAATAAACACATTGGACAAAGAAGACGTTAAATCTAAAATACTTCTGGCATAAAACATCCAGGAAATCTGGGACACATTGAAAAGACCAAATCTAAGAATAATAGGAATAGAGGAAGAAGAAGAAATCCGGGTCAAAGGCCCAGAAACTATTTTCAACAAAATCATAGAAGAAAATTTCCCTAACCCAAAGGACATGCCTTTAAAAGTATAAGAAGCATACAGAACACCAAATAGATTGGACCAGAAAAGAGTGTCCCCTTGGTACATAATAATCAAAATACAAAGCATGAAGAACAAAGAGGGAATATTAAAAGCTGCAATGTAAAAAGACCAAATAACGTATGAAAGCAGACCTACTAGAATTATAGCTGATTACTCAATGGGGACTCTAAAAGTCAGAAAAGCCTGTGTAGATGTGCTGCAGATGCTAAGAGATCACAGATGCCAGCCCAGACTAATATAGTCAGCAAAACATTCAATCACTATAGATGAAAAAAAATAAGACATTTCATGGTGAAGCCAAATTTAAGCAATATTTATTTATAGATTCAGCCCTACAGAAGGTGCTAGAAAGAAAACTCTAAGGAGGCTACCCACAACTATGAAAACACAGGTGTAGGAGGAAGTCTGATGCCGCCATTAAACATGTGACTTACTAAGTCTATGCCGCCATTAAACATGTGACTTACTAGAGGCGCATACAGATGAGGTAATAAAAGGGCGGTTTACCACACCGCTAACCACACCCACTTTAGGCAGGACTAAAGACGTATACGTACGTAGGCGGAACTACATAACTAGCCAAGCCCACTTTTGGGCATGGCTAGGGGCGTTACGGGGGGAAGGCATAAAAGACAGTGCACAGGAAGTCTCGCTCTTTTTTCCTGGAGTTCGGCTTCCGGTCCAGTCGCTAGCTGAGATCTGCTGGGCTTCTCTGGGTTTGGTATCTTGTGAGTAATTTTCTACATAAAATACTTAGCGTTACTTTCAGTAATTGTGTGTCGGGTATCGTTACAGCGTCCGTTGAAGCCAACACACAGGGAATAAATAGTCTAAGGCCTGGGAAATCAAAAGAAGGGACACATTCAGCAGCAGCATCACCACCACCACAACCACCACCAAAAACAAAAGATCATTGTCATTGATATCTCTCAATATCATGGATTCAATTCCCCAGTAAAAAGATACAGACTAACAGAATGGATGTGAAAACATGATCCATCTCTCTGCTGAATCCAAAAATCACACGTCAATATCAATGATAGGCACTATCTCACAGTAAAGGGTTGGAAAAAGACATTCCAAGCAAATAGACCTATAAAGCAAGCTCGTATAACCACTTTAATTTCTTTTCTTTTTTTTTTTTTTTTTTTGGTTTTTCGAGACAGGGTTTCTCTGTGGCTTTGGAGGCTGTCCTGCAACTCATTTTGTAGACCAGGCTGGCCTCGAACTCACAGAGATCCGCCTGTCTCTGCCTCCCGAGTGCTAGGATTAAAGGCGTGCGCCACCAACGCCCGGCACCACTTTAATTTCTATCAAGTGAGTCTTCAGACCAAAACTAATCAGAACGAGGTAGGGAAGGATACTACATACTCAAAGGAAAATCCACCAAGATGATATTTCAATTTTTAACATACCATAAATACAAGGGTAAGAGTTTATAAAAGAAACACTACTACAGCTTCAATAACTTATTGACCCTTACACACTGACATTGGGATACTTCAATACCACAATCTCGCCAATAGACAGATCATCCAGACAAAAACTAAACAGAGAAATGCTGGTGCTAACAGACATTATAAACCAAATGGACATAAAAGATGTTTACAGAACATTCAACCAAATACAAAAGAATATACCTTTTCCTCTGCACCTCATGAAACTGTCTCCAAAATTGACCACATACTGAGACACAAAATCTATCAGCAGATAGAAGAAAATTGAAATAACTCCCTGCATCCATCCTGGCAGGTCAGGAGGGAGGGAGGGAGGGAGGGAGGGAGGGACGGAGAGAGAGAGAGACGGAGGGAGGGAGGATGAAAGAAAGAAGGAAAGAAAGAAAGAAGGAAAGAAAGAAAGAATGAAACAAAGAATTGGTTCTTTGAGAAAATCAGTAAGACCAACAACCCTTAGCCAAATTACCTAAAAGG